GGGAGATATATTTACGACTTTGCCTTGGCATATGGTCTGACATAATTGGTCACTTCACCTGCGTGGTCTTCATAGGTGGAGGATCATCCACCCACATTATTGGACCTTCTGCTGACCTTTCATCCGAATGAACATCAGGTCTCCGTCTTGGCCCTTCGGATCACTACCTGTTCTTGAGTACGTTGCTCATCACAAGCTCATTGCAGGCGCGATCTGTAAGGCTGCCACCGTGTGTGGAACTATAGGTCAGCTTATTGTGATGGGATGCGGGTTTTTTGCATCTTACCCATGGGGCGGATTTGCTTCTCACTAGATGATCCTAATGTCGTTGCTGAGTTTGTCACTGATGTGATGCTTCAAGCGATGGAAATTTTCATCCCGTCATCTGTAGTGCCTATCGGTGGCGGATCTCAGCATTGGTTTGGTCGTTCTTGGAAAATTGCGTCGTGGCAAAAGCAGGAGTGTTACAAGACCTGGGACAACGTATCGGTGTCCCGGGATGCAAACACTAGCGCACTCAAAAAGAAGTATAACTCTGCTTCCAGGTCCTTCAAATTGATTGCTAGGGCAAAGTACGAGCCCATTGAGAGAAATGGCGAAAAACTAGTTCGCTTTTCTTCGGGAACTCATGCTCTGGTCTCTGGCCAAGCTGCCCAAGGGAAGCAGAATGTAAGCCATCATTATAGTTTCTGCACAGGGAGATTGACTCGTTGGCCCATACCGCAAAGGAGAAAGAGATCTTTTAGGTTCTCTTTTTGTGTCCAACTCGACTCTCAACGCCAGGTGAAATCTACCGCCTACCATTCTGCAGTGTGAATACTCCAAGCAGGATGTTCGGTTAACACAGTGCTAAGTGCGTAAATCACTACTATAATCCCCAGCCGTCTATTATAAGTGAAGGGGGCCTGATGGAATCCCCCCAATTGTGCTGAAAACGTGTATTCTAAAGTTAGCTTATTACGCGTCTTTTTAATTAATTCTCTAACTAGATTCTCTAACTCTTTAAGCGTCGTTCCAAGCTCATGGAAGACAGGCTTAGTGCATCCAATCCCTAAAAAATGTGACCGCTCGGACCCGTCCAACTATAGTCCTATCGCCATCACCACCTTGTTCTCCAAAATAATGTAATCCATTATTAACTCGTCAGATCAGATCATGATGTACTTTGAAGAGCATCAGCTGATTAGTGATCGTCAATACGGTTTCCGTCAAGTGGAAGGCCCTGGGGGTAGTTTGGCAAAAGCAAAGGCCTTCGATCGGATTTGGCACAAAGCGCTTCTTTCGAAGCTTCCCTCTTATGGGCTTCTCGAGAAAACATGCAATGGGTCACCAGTTTTCTAACAGATCGGAGTATTAAGGTCGTAGTCGACGGTGCATGTTCTGACTGAATTTTTTTGGATGGTGGTGTTCCACAAGGCTTCGTGCTAATTGCCTACCCTGTTCCTTCTGTATATCAATGATATGTTGCATAGTAGCTCATTCATTGTTATGCAGACAACAGCACTGGTACAGGAACACTGCATCTCGTGCCGAAGCAAACTTGTGCCTGAAGTCGAGTCTTTCTATTAAAAAATTAATACGATTTTTATTGAAATTCCCATTTTTAAGCTTTATTTTCAGCCTTTATTTTTAATTTGACTAATTTTCTTTAAACACTATTAAATTCCTATTCTCTGCTGCCTGGCAAATGGTGAGCCGTAAGGGAAAAGGCAATTCACTCAAAAAGGTGACTTGCCGACCCGACCGACCATCAGGAGGGTCTATCCCTGTAGGCAGTAGTGTAAAGGCCAAAAAGAAGAATAAGAAGCAGCGAGAAAAAGGCCAAAGAGAAAGAGCCGCGCTGGCTGCTTCTTAAACCAAAACCAAGGAGGCTGGGCAAGCTACTGCGACTGAGGTGCTTGGGGCTGGAACCATTAGCCGCGCCGAAACTGGGAAGGATAAAAATGCAGCCCAAGTGGAACTGGAAGGAATCCAGCCCGCGACCGCAGGAACCAGCTCTAAGATACCCGCCAGGAAGCAGCGAGCGGCCAAGCGTCCTGGGAAGAAGGAAAGTGCTGCCAAAGGGATGCTGGAAGAGTCCACCTCGCCGAGGGGCGAGCACAAAAAAGTGCGACTCGAACAGCAACCAAAGGCTGCATGAACCAGCTACGCTCCCACTGCTAAAGCAGATTTGGGTGTGGCCTTAACGTCTGCGCGTTCAGGTCACATAAAGAAGGAAGTAGCTCACGACATCCTCGTGACAATACAGAGGAAGATGATCAGCGAGACCAGGACCCTGATGCGTCGGGCCCAGTTTTTAAAGGCAAACTCGTTTGCACGGATGGTGTTCTGAAGCTGTGGTGCGACGATCAGAAGGCTCTGGACTGATTGAAGGGGAATATTGCTACCCTCGACCTTAAATCCAACACCTCGCTGATTATAAAGAAACAGTCGGAGATACCACAAAGAGTCAAAGGTGGTAATCCTTATCCCTGATGCACAGGGAGCCTGGAAAGACTCACGCGACATTGGTCGTGTGCTGGCGTACAAGAACCGCTGGGTAAACATCAGGGACTGACTGCTACTCAAGGCAAATAAGCAGACAGACGAGTGGTTCCTCGTTGTTTCGGTGCCGGAGGATTATATCCTGACCCTGATGAAAGCCAGATGCCGTCTCGCATGTGTATGTGGGGCGGTATACGTAAAATTCCAGGGTCGTGGAGGTAAATTCTTTGACATTCCGCCAAGCAAAGAGACAGATAACAACCTGAAAGTCATGGATACCAGGGCCATGGTTAACGGTACATCGGAATCACTGGATGCCAATTCCAGTGAAAAAACGGCCTGCACAACTGAGCCGAAGGCCCCAGTAGAGATCGTGCTTAGCGGCAGCTCACTAAATGACGAAGAGGACTGTATTTTGCCGACCACTTCCGACTCGGTAGCTGACGATGAAACCCGAGATCTGCTGGCAGGCTTATTTTTGGGCGGGGTCGGGGAGGACGCGATCAATGATGGCGTGCCCTTCGTCCAAAAGTACCCTAGTGCATGCCAACCTCTACCACAACTAACTGCGTCGGCTCAATTACGCAAGTGCTTGGAGGCTCAAAGGATGACCATAACCTTAAAGCTTCTCCCCCAAAGAAGCGGCTTGCGACGGCGGTCGGGGTGGCGGCCAGTTGTATTCGCTTGCAATGTAAGTGAGTCTGCAAACCCGTGCGACCATGTTGCGGCTGGCAACGGTCGCCATGCCCCGCCCCCTTCGCCTGTTAGCGAACCTTCATTCGCTGTAGTCTGTGCTACGATCAAATGTCAGTCAACATGGCTAACCGTGATGATGTCTTTTTATTCTTATTAATTTCAGCAATATTATCCCATATTTTGTTTTTAATCCTAATGCTTTTGTAATCAAGGTGCGTAGTATCGTAAAGTACTGGATGCTATTACTGGATGGTTTTAGAAGCAGCCAGCGCGGCTCTTTCTCTTCGGCCTTTTTCTCGATGCTTCTTATTCTTCTTTTTGACCTTTACACTAATAATGTCCTCCAGACCGAATTTCGGCCACGGCGGCCAGTCTCAACGGAGATTAGCTATCGGCGCAGGACAGTATTAAAGTGCCCAAGTGTATGCGCAAGCACAGATGCACTCTCTTTTCCCTCACTCTCATAGCCCGATGGGACGGTAAACCGACACGACCGGAGAGAGATCAGCCGAAAGACCAACGGCTTTACGTGCTTTCCGAGGCACGGGGCTGAAACACCGCCAACTTCCTGACTCCGGGCAGCTACTGAGAATTTCTTGATGGTAAAACTCAATAACTAATTTTTTGGCCCGACCCGGATTTCGAACCATTCTAGACCAACGAGGCAGTCACCAGGCCTTTTTAATCTTTTTAAAAACGTTACCCCCACACTAGGATTTTCTCCTGCGTCGTAAAGGCAGTTTACAAACATAAATTGCACAAGGACAAACATCCAGACCCGTAACAATTATTTGTAGGCCATACAAATACTTGTTCCGTGCGGGATTCGAACCCGCGGCCCCCAGCGCGACAACTCATTGTTAAGCCACTGCGCCACGGAGCCGACAAGGAGCACGGAGTCACGGAGCGCGGACGGGTCACGGAGCAGTCGTTTACACTACTGCCTACAGGTATAGACCCTCCTGATGATCAGTCTAGTCGGCAGGTCACCTTTTTGGATGCCTCGCCTTTACCCATACGGCTCACCACTTACCCTTACACTCACATACCCTTGGTGGGGCCACCTACGCTGGATAAGTACAGTAACCGTCGGTTTAATGGCAGTTCCCCCTTGTTCATTGGTGTCACTGGTAAGCACCTCTGACACCTCTCCTTCATTCCTACTGGGCCCTAAAATTGTCCATATTTATTTTGTGTGTTTAAAATTCGTCCACCCTGCTTCCCATCCTACATGAAGCCCGCACCTTTGGGAATGCCCTGCTTTAAAAAAAGTATTTCAGGCGTTAGGATTACCGGGGGAATATAGGGACACGAAGTTTGCTCACAACGCGACATCGGGAGCTCTATCCAGCTGGTAGATAGGGCTAAAAAGGCCCATCCCCACTACCCGAATAAACTGTCACTTACTCCATCAGCATGGCCTTTCCTTTTTTAGGAAAACTAGGCAGCCAAGAGACGTAGCTCTCCCCTGTGACCCTCTGACGGGGCGCTTCGCCATTTCACAGATAGTCTCCTGTGCAGGGTATGTATGTGGAGGAGGAATGTGTTGCTGGCATGTCCAGAGGTCGCTACAAATAGGGCTAAACATCTCAGCACACTGGGATCACTTCCCGAAGTTGCTCGCAACATCAAAGGACTGTTGAACTTCTTCGGGGAGATTTCATGGCTCGAATAATCACAATATTCATGCCCACACGCATAATACGCGCTTAGACGTGGAGTTGCGGAAAACAGCCGGTTGTAAACTAAACTAACTACATACTATTAATCAGTAATATATTTGTCTGTGTATTCACCATTAAAAGATACACGCCAGATCAAGTAGCAAAACAAACTCATTTAATCAAATCTACCTTGACACAGATATTACAATTTTAGCCTCAACATTATCAATACATAACAACCATAAATGATGATCATAAGCAGTTTTATCCACAAGTTAGTGTAGAAACAGTAGAGAAGCTTGTATCTGTTGCGAATCACTACATAGTTAATATTTAAAACAATCAACCCAACTACAACATTTTGTAACCAATTAGGTATTAATTCCTCAGAATTACTAGAAGGTACTCTGTGGTATTATTCTTAAATTTCATATAACCAATCCATTCATAGTAGAACCAGTGCATGTTGCCAATGATGACAAAAGTCAATTATGAATAAAAATATTTTGACTTAACTAGGGAATAATACCAAAACCATTCCCTATTTTAGCCACCACCATAGTCGGGTTAAAATAAAATAAATAATTACATGTTTTAAGAGTTATTTAATACTTAGTCTTATGCAAATACATACACTTATAAAAACTTCAAAGATCCTTATCACAACTTCCTTTTGCCTTGCCATTATTCTATGTTTATTTGGCTATATAAACTATGCTGACACATTTGAAATATATTTCATTTCCACATCATCACAAATGGACTCTGTTTCATCTGGTTCATCTAAAAGGGCTTGCAATTGGTGCATTGAAGTCACTAAAACATGAAATTGCTTCTTCCTTAATGCTAATTTACTCTCCAGTTGCTGTTTTGTAGCTTCTAAGCTGCTTAAATCTGTTTTCAAAGTACTAAGATGCTCAAGAGTTTCTTTTCTATCAGGTTGTTCACTTATTACTTTAGCTAGAACATCATATTCTATACGGTTTTTACGTACTGTTTTTGCTTGTGCTAGATCAGATTTACTTTTCTCTATATTATTTTTGGCAACTTCTATGCCTGTTTCTAGTATTTTTGATAATGATTCATAACTTTTTAACTCTGCTGTCATCATTTCTGCACCTAACTGAGACTTAGTCACTGCAAATTCACATTGGGCAAGCTGTGCCAACATTCTGTCATGTGTTGATTTGCTGAAAAAGAGATAAATTCCCAATTAATATTATCATTTTGTAAATAAAAACTGTTTGGCTTGATTTGATACTGTATACCGAAATTATTGAAAACTGCATAATAAGTGATATAAAAGAATATATGGGATGACCAAACAATATATAACTAGACTATGAGCACAATGCACACATACCCATTCAGAATAAAAAACAACAGTAACAAGACACACTGTGCTTTATCCGGCTTATAGCCAGTCTTTTTATTTTCTAAATATATGCTTTTATAAAATGAAAATGATAAATATAATATGAATCTAACTTCCAATTCTTTGAGTTAAGTATTGTGAATGCCTTTTACTAATGAAATAATAATAATTATAGTAAGTAAAGTGGCTACATAAACCACTATAATCATTATATATATATACTTTGAGTGATAGCGATGTCATTATGCTGAGAATTCTTTTAAGAGAAGCCATGAAGTAAAGAAGAAGGGATATTGATATCATATTATTGCTATAAAATATATATAATATAATTTAATAGCGACACCTAAAACAAATACTGTACCAGTATATATAAATTTCAGTATATATAAAGGTACTCTGTGTACTGTACCTTCCCTTTTCTGTTTTAATCAATGACTATTGTGTTCTATGGAAAAGGGATACCTTTTTCATCCGACATTGAAAATTTACAACAAAGACGATATAAAATTATAATAAAAATTAAGGAATATAATAAAAAGTTACAGCTCTAAGCAGAAAACTTAAGTAATTTTTAACCTCTCCTCCGGCTTTTCATCTGTGCTATTACACCATTTGATTAATGTTTTTAACAAAACATTTAAACGCCTATCATCTCCAGTGCCATCGCCATCGATTAGCAATCGTCTTCGTATTACATCTTCTGAAAAATATAAAATTTTGCAAATCAATACCTTGTCTGTCTTAAATTCATTGTCAATCTTCATTTCTTATATTGTCTTAAATTTAATTAATCTTACGTTTTAAGATCTAAGTATCACAACATAAAAATACTTACCGTCACCCATTTTTTTTAAATAATTATACTTTTCTTGTAATAATAAACCCTTATTCATTCATAGATAAATATATATGTAGCAAGCTACCCTTAACCCTTATTTGGCTTTTGGTTGTTGTCACAGAGTACATTATATTATATAGGGAAGTTGTTGTTGTTCCTTGATCACAAACTATATAGAAAGTAGAAACACATCCTTGATCCACATTCCACCATAGACAAATAAATATGTAGCAAGCATTCCACAAACTACACTACCTTCCACTAACTAGGTATACAGAATCACTACGCCTGTTACTATACTCTTTGCACTACGCGTTCAGACCATAGATATGTTCAGACGGGACTTCTCTGGTACTTACACATAGACATAGTATCATTTATTTTGTACCGTAAGCAAAGTAAGCAAATTAGAAAATGACATTTCTTTTTTTTAAATATGAATTGGATATAGGCAAATGAATAATTTTATTTCAGCCTAGTATATATATAAATATATATTTATATATATACTAGGTCTGAGTCTGGTCTGGTCTGGTCTGAGGTCTGAGGCAGCACGTCACACAAGCGACTCATTTTACTGATCACTCGGAAACTTTACTTGATTTGATTTGCAGTAGCTGTGATGTATTTAATATACAGGTTGACTATGTGCCAGATCTGAGTCATCACGCTTTTCTATCTTGTGATTTGAATGTAAAGAAGCCAAAGCAAGTGTCAACATGTATTACTTATAGACCAATTAAGGATATAAACGTACCACAATTTAATTCTGATGTTGATGCTGTACTGTGGGAAGAGTTGCTTTATGATGACGTAAACAGTTCTGTAACGGCTTTTGATTCACAAATATTGTATCTGTTTGATATTCATGCACCAATAAGAAAATCTTACATTAAAGGCCATAGCTATCCGTGGATCACACCAACGATTAGGGAAATGATGAAGCTAAGAGATAAAGCTCACGCCAAATGTAAAGGCATAAATTCCAAAGGTGACAAAAAATATTATAAAGATCTGAAGAGTACTGTTAATGCTGCTATACTGAGTGAAAAAACAGCCTACTTTCGTTACTTTATTAATAACAATTCAAAAAGCCCTCAAGTACTTTGGAGAAATATAAAGAAAAATGTGGTAGACTTCAAAAATAAAGATATTGATTTGCCATCAAACTTGAATGATCCTGACATCATAAATCATCATTTTCTACACATACCAGGAAGTAATAGTGTAAGTCCTTCAACATTATGCTATTTTGAATCTAACCGTTTCAATTCGTCGGTTTTTACTTTAAAATTAGTGGATGAAAACTTGGTATTAGAAATTTTGAAAAATATTACCACAAATGCTATGGGTGTAGATGGTATTACTAAAGATATGGTTGTCTTAACATTGCCACGGACTTTAAGTGCTATAACCAACATTATTAATATGTCGATACGGACAGGAGTTTTCCCAGACACCTGGAAGGATGCAGTTATAATTCCAATACCAAAAAATAATCATCCTGTAGAACTAAATCATCTTCGACCTATAAGTATACTACCTTTTTTATCTAAAATTGCTGAAAAGGCTGTTTATATGCAATTAATGGAATATCTAAACCAGAACAATATTTTACCTCTAAAACAATCAGGTTTTAGGGCTGGAATAAGCACGGTTACAGCACTATTGAGTGTTGTCGATGATATTCTAACAGCGCAGGATAAAGGAGAGGCTACAATTTTGACACTGCTGGACTTTTCGCGTGCATTTGACACAATAGATACTACTTTACTTCTGTCGAAGTTGATGTATTATGGTTTTGACTGTAACGCATTAAAGTGGTTTGAAAGTTATTTAAATGGTCGTACACAGCGCGTCAGACTTCGAAATGAAACTGGTACCAACATTTTTTCTGTTGCGTCTCCTGTTACTCGTGGCGTTCCACAAGGGTCGATTCTAGGTCCTTTACTGTTTATCCTTTACAGTGCCGATATTACGGGCTGTTTTAAATATTGCCAGTATCATTTATATGCCGACGACCTTCAAGTCTACATATCATTTAGGCCGGATGATACTAATGAGGCAGTTAACAAACTAAATCTGGATTTAAGCATGATCGCTGAGTGGGCGAATAATAATGAACTCATCTTAAATTCAAATAAAACCAAATTCATGATTTTGGGATCAAAGAAATTAATAGAACGAACGAATGCTCATAAGCCTAAAATTGTTGTTGGTGGCAACCATATTGAACAGGTATCCGAAGTTCGTAACTTGGGTATAATTATGGATAATAGACTAAGGTTTGAAAATCATGTTACGCATACAGTAAAAAATTGTTTTTACAGATTGAAAATATTATATAATATTCGGGAATACCTAAGTGAAGAATTGAGAATTCAACTTTGTGAGTCACTAATACTCTCGAAGCTAAATTATGCTGATATTGTCATGGGAGAGTGTTTGCTTGCGCGAACCAAACTCGTAATACAACGAGTACAAAATGCATGCGCTAGGTTCTGTTTTCGAATCCCTCGTAGAGGTCACTTGACACCGTTTTTAAATCAGAGCAAACTTATTAACATGAAATCTCGTAGATCGGTTCACTACAGTTGTTTACTTTATAAAATATTACAAAATCAACAACCGAAATACTTATATGAGAAGCTCAGTTTCTCGCAACGTTTCTCACGGGAAACTGTTCGCTTGTTGTACCCAAGACACAGAACGGCTGCGTTTCGTGGTAGCTTTCGGTATGCTGCCACAAAGTGTTGGAATAATATACCACCTCCGATCAAGGGCAGCAGGACAGTTCGCACTTTTAAAGTAAAACTAAAAGAATATCTTTTAAATTTGCAAAGTTAGTTCTGTGTCGATGTATTACACCTTTCTTATGAAGGTTGATTGAATGTTTGTATATTATAAAAATACTTGCTAAATTCTCCATTTATTTTATTTTATTTTTGTATCTTATTAAATAATTTAATTGTGTGCCTTGTGCCTTGCATATGTTTTGTTTTTTGTTTTGTTACGGTTTTTTTTTGCGTTGGCTTATTATTGTGCCTTTCTTTCCTAAATGTTAACAGTTTTTTTTTAATTATTATTTATAAATTTTATAAGTGTATTTTTTATTTTTATGTTGGAGCCTGTGATTGGCTAAGTTTATTTTATTGCGCCTATGTCTCTGGCGTTTACTGAAAATCAGCGTTATAGTTATCACTATGTGGTTTCTATAACATTTGTGCTGAGTAGACGCCATTTTAGTTCCATTCCATTAATTTATTTTGTTATGTTAATTTGTGTTTTTGTTTAGAACTAAATAAATTATATTATTATTATTATTATTATTATTATATATACATTTTATACTCGTTTAAGGCTTTTTTTTGCATTAGTGGTAATGTACGCTTTTCGATCTTAATGATGTCAGTGCCTTACAGAATCCCATCTGCGGTATATGATATAGAGTGAACATTTAATTGCTCTCTTGCTGCTTGCACTTGAATATTTTCAGTGGAAAGGTACTCTTCAATACATTCAATATCCAGTGTATTGAGCTGTAAAAAAAGAATATATAAATTACAAGTCTCTAGTGGCCGTGTAGTGGCGGTCAAGAATATCCACTACCCCATATCTTCCCGTGGGTGTCGTAAAGGGCGACAAAGGAAAACAGGCAGGAGATGGGCAGCAGCATCTTCCTGATGATAACCAAAATTACGATAAAAAACTGCGGTTGCCAACCCGCTCGCCAAGCGTGGCAACTATGGCAAATACGGCGGCCCCCAGTCCCCGGCAACCCCGCTATTCCTGGCTACGGTGGCGACCATGGTAACGGCGGGGCAGGGGTGCTAAGAATCTCCGGTGGAGGTTCGGTTGCCACCTTAGACGACTCGACCTGGCAACGTATAACACACGCACCCTGAGGACTGACGAGAAGACCGTGGAACTGGAAGAAGAGATAGACAAGTTACGCTGGCATATTATAGGATTATCCGAAGTCCGAAGAGAGGGAGAGGACACGGTAATCCTCGAATCCGGCAACTTGCTCTATCACCGGGAGGGCGATCATCTGTCCCAAGGAGGTGTCGGATTTATCGTCCACAAGTCTCTCGTTAACAACGTTGTAAAGATCTGGAGTGTGTCGACGAGGGTTGCGTACCTTATAATCAGAATCACCAAACGGTATTCGCTGAAGGTCATACAGGTTTACGCACCAACCTCGGCACATCCCGATGAAGAGGTGGAGGAAATGTATGAGGATATCTCTAGAGCCATGCATTCCTCCAAAACCCAATATACGGTGTTAATGGGAGACTTCAATGCAAAACTAGGCACAAGAGAGAACGGTGAGCAGAAAGTAGGAAAATTCGGAATAGGGCAACGGAACCCAAGGGGCCAGCAGCTGGCCGAATTATTGGAGAAAAAGGGACTCTTTAATATGATGAACTCTTTCTTCCAGAAGCGGCCCCACAGGAAGTGGACCTGGTAGAGCCCCGACGGTTCGACAAAAAATGAGATTGACTTCATTATGACGACCAGACGACAACTGTTTAGTGATGTCTCCGTGATCGTGAGGGTGAAAACTGGTAGCGATCACCGAATGGCTAGAGGCACACTGAACCTAAACGTTGAGTTGGAGAGGTCTCGTCTAATGAAGTCAACACTCCGTCCCCCACGTGCTCTGTTCCAAAGTCCTGAAACCTTTCAGCTCGAGTTACAAAACCGTTTTCAGTGCCTAGAAGACTGCAATGAAGTGGACGATTTGAATGACAAGCTCGTGGAAACTGTCCATGCGGTCGGAGCTAAGTTCTGCAAGACCCGCCGCAGAAGAACACAAAAACTCTCCGATCACACTCTTAATCTTATGGCTGTTAGACGGGAGACGAAGCTACATTCTTCAACAGATTTGACAGCATACAGGCAACTGAACGGACAGATCTCCAAATGCATGCCGCGGGACTTACGCAACTTCAATACAGCTCGTATTAAAGAAGCGATCGAGCGGAACCAAGGCTCCAAAGTCTTTGTCAGAGATCTGTCTGCCAGAAAGAGCCAACTGTCAAAGCTGAAGACCGAATGTGGCAGCATCGTTTCCGGGGCACCAGAGATTTTGAGTGAGATTGAGAGATTCTATGGGCAGCTGTACACGTCATCGTTGGAGCCGCAAGCAAGTGTGAGTAACGATCCAAGAGCG